TCTTGCTGCCCATCTGCTTAGTATAGGCATTTACCGAGGATGCTGGTCGATTGTGTGACAAAGGAAACAAGCCTATGGATAAATATCATGTGCGTGTCTATTTGTCTCCATGGAGATACGGAATCTTTGAGATATTGAGAAGCAAGTGCACTTATGGGGTTATAACCTTCGTTTGCCTCAACTTTTCCATTTTATTGTTGCTGTTGCTTTTTTGTTTAAATTTTTCTTGTTCCTATTTTTGTTCATAATCTTAACCCCTCAAAATAAAAATAAGAAAATAATTTTTGATCACTACAAAAACTCGTTAAATGTTCAATGTTTTAATGTAATGCTCAATGTAGTGTTTTGGTTGAGTTATCTGCCTTTCGGTAAAAGACTCTAAGGTTAACTGCCAATCGGCAACGGAAGAGTGGAAATAGAAGAGACTATTCAACTGACAACGTGAAATATACATAAATAAAAAGAAGTATTTACAAAATATATAAATGCAAATATATATGTTTCAAATATAATAAGTGCAAATGCATATATGTGCAATATATAAGTTACGAAATATATAAGAAAAGGTAAAACACATCATTTCTCCACCTCACTCCCCCATGTGAGCTTCATCGGTGTTCAGAGGGGTGATTCTTTGAATCATATTAATTATAATTATAATTAAAATTATGATCAATTAATAAGTTAATCACTGTGAGGAGAGTGGATATCAACAATGTCAAACTTCATCTATCAAAAGGAATACCCCATAGAATCGAGTTAACATGTCTTACATACTAGTGAATTGGAATTATATCTTTGTAGCGGTAGACGCACTAAAATCACTAAATAATTAATCAATATTTAATAAATAATTAATAAATAATTAATAAATATTTAATAAACAATTAATAAATAATTAATAAATAATTAATAAATAATTATTAAAAGACAATATACATTATCTTTAGATGTTTATCACCAAAAAGATTATTAAGTAATTAGGAAAATACTAATTATTAGTTGCGCAACTAGTATTTCTTTGAAATTTTCAATACTTATTTTGTTAAAATTATTTTAGTTGCATATAGTGACTTGGCACAGTTTCAGATAAAATTAATTATAAAAGAGAAAATGACATTTTTAAAAATTTAGTAATTTTAAATTGCAACACAATATGTTTAACATTTAATGTTTCATAATTAGCAATTATCATAAACTTATGCTATAGTATAATAAAGGAAAATCATTTTCTGCTTAGGGCCTTTAACTTTAAATAATAATCAAAACTAAAAACATAATTATAGCTGAGAATATCATTAATAAGGAATGTAAAATAAATAATTGCTTACAGGAAAACAATTAAACCTTAAACTTTCTCTAATATGGCGCTGATGGCAAATGTCTAAATCTTATTTACACGATTATGATCATATCATGTGGTTTTTATGTAAAATGAGAACACGAACTAAAAATTAGAAATGACGAAACAAAAGTTTAGGACGTTTTTTTTAATGATGTATAGAGAAAAATGTAAATTTGCTTACGTTTTCTATTTTACGGTCGACTAGATATTTTCAAGATGAGTAATTGATTTAACTTGTTTTTGACAGCAAGGATGGTACAAGAAGTCTCATTTTAATCTTAGAATTTCTCATCACGCAATAAAATCCCTTTCCAATCTGATTAGAAGTGATATAAGCCGTTCTGTTTGAACCTTATGTGCTACATTTGATAATAGTTAACTGCCTTTAAATGGATGCAATTACATGGAGTTTAAAATAAAAATGAAACATGGCTTACATCATGTAAAACTATCAATATCTAATTACTTTTCATTCCAATTTCCTTTTAAATCTTCCCTTAAATATATGATATAGATTATAGTTTTTTTGATTTTTAAATATCAGTCATAACTACTCTTGTAGAGCAAAGGAGCACACACGCCGGATTTTGAACTTCTATCTAAGAGATACGGCAGTCACACATTGATAAAAATTTCACTATTCATGAGAAAAGTTTTATTATGATAATGTTTGTGACATTCTGAAGGAGTGCATTTTAAATTAAATGTTTTATTACCAAACTATAACATTTTATTACATAATAGAAACTTTTTTGAAATCATGTAGAAAGGCTTTTAGAATATTAAAAAAATCTATCAGTGCATTTTGTGTTCAATGGTTGCCACTTTACAGCAATAGATATATTTTTTTTATTCACACTAAAACTTAAATTCATTTTCCTTTCTGATTTTTCCAGAGCTAAAAAAGTTTCACCCCATGCAGCCACAGATCTAGCAAAAATATCTACATCATCGGCGTATGCCGAAATGAGTACAAATTTATAAAATATAGTGCTTCCATTATTTATACCAACATTTTTGATTTCTCCATTTCTTAATAAATAAATTTTACATTCTGCTACTTTTGGGGAGAGTTTTATTCTCTTAATGTTCCAACCAGTTATCGTGAACCAACCAGTTATGGTTGAACTTAAACGGAAACATGACTCACTTTATCATCTTAAGGTAACAGTAAATTTGTACAATTGTTCAATGATAACTGATTTTTCTAACAGTAAATTATTCATCCATATAATCATCGGGCTAAACTAACTTGAGTTATATGGTTACAAAATTGCCGAGTTAAGTCAGACTATCATAATTTTTTAACTTGATTAAACGATAATTTGATTGAACATGGTTCAATTTAACACTTGAGATAACAGCAATTTCGCAACAAACTACTGTTCAGCATTTAACTGATTTATGTGATAGTAAACTATGTATCCTAATAATTGTCGAACTAAACTAAATTTTACAATATAGTTTAAAATTTATCGAGAACTAAGTTGAACTAAATGTAAAACATAAATACACTATAATTTGATTGAACTTGAGCGAAAACATGGTTCAATTTTACATTGTATTAAGGTAACAGCAAATTTGCCCCAAATTATTATTCAATGTTCTACCGATTTTTCTGACAGTAAACTATATATTCTAATAATTATCGAACCAAGCTAAATTGAACTATATAGATTAAAACTTGTTGAGAACTAAATGGAACTAAATTATCGTACATTTTAAATTTAAATATACGATAATTTGATTGGACTGGAACGGAAGTATGGTTCAATTAAATTCATTATTAAGACTATAGCAATTCTGCACTAAACTGCTTATCCAATTTTTTAACAATACGTCCTAATTTATTGACATCTTAAATTATTATTTAAAAACTCACGAGAAATATTAAAATAATAATTTCAATTATAAAATATTTCTTTCAGAATATTTCAATCAATTTTTCAATTTAAATAATATTTAACTTCAATTTAAATAAATTTTTAGGAATAAAAATATATCATTGTTACAATAAAATATATGCACGAATAACAGTTTATCTTCTAAAAAATTCCCTTTCTCCAATACTCTTTAAAATAATAATTTCTGGAAAAATAATAACTTTTAAGAATATTTTCAATTTCAATAAAAAGTTTTAAGGATAACTATATATCATTAATACGATAAAATATATTACCAAAAAGTAACTTACCGTTTCAAAAATTCTTATATCCAATGCACTTTGAAATAAATGTCACTGATAACAATTTAATTAGATTTCTCTAATCTATTCTTGTCATATTATATGAGACAGATAAAATGCGAAATGAAAAAATAAATTCTAAGAATAACAATCTATCATTAATACAATAAAATATATGATTGAAAAGCACTTTACTTCGCTGAAAATTCCATTATCCAATGCACTTTAAAATATTAATTTCATTAATAACCATTCAATTAGATCTCTTCAATGTATGCTTGCTATAGTTTGTGAGACTTATAAAATGAGAAATAAAAATCCTGAAAAGTATTTTACGATCAACGTATACCTTTACCTAACTTCCGGACAATATAGGGATGCCTCATCCCTCAGTATCCGTTTCCGGCAGCAGACAACGAAATCAAAACTCATCGTCTACTATTTTGACCATAAACGCATTCAGCTAGAATTCATACACCGTGGTTCCAGTCTCTTTTTTTTTTCAATTGCATTTCCGAAACTGGACAGTTTTTTAATCAGGTTTCATTGGTATATTACACTTTACACCCTATTATTGTCTCTTTTCAAGGCCGCTGAAATAAACTTTTGAATAGAGTTCGTTGGTTTTATATTCTTTATGCTTCTGAAAATAATTTCAGATGAAAATTTGTAATGCCGTTGGCGGTGAAAAAGACGGATACTCAGGGGTGTTGCGAGAAAATTTTCATTATCCATCCTTTTCGTTAACCAATTTTGTGAAAAATGTTCTTTAATTTAAAGCATTTCGAAAACTGCTGGTCGAAGCAAGAGATCGTAAACATGTAACAAATGTGTTCCATTCTATCAATATTTTACGCGATAAACGTTTTGTTTTATGAAAAATGAGTGTTTAAAAAAACAAATTAAGTGTACGCATTTTCTTATTCACAATATCTAGGATTAGTATTTCGCCATCTCATTTGCACTTTCTCACCTTCACAAATTAAAAATTATGTCGACTATATCGTTCGAAATTTATAAACATGTGTGATAATGTAGTGTTTATTGTCAAACATGCAGTATTTATCGTCATGAAACACTTGTTTATTATTAAAAGTTATTTGCCTTAAATTTAAAGTATTCTTAATTGTAGTGGGAAGGATATGTCCCCCATCTTTCCTCTTCAGCTTACTGTAGAACATCTTTCTCAAAATCGTTAAAATAAAAGATTTAAAATATAATTACGTTTTTGAAACTCAACTCTAAAAATTGGGTCGGCTAATCAACGAAGGTTATAAGAAAAATATTTAAAAAAAATGGTTGAATTAATGTACTGCTATTGTATACTATAATGCACCAAATTCGCTTTAGGTGTAAAACTGTTTGTGGATTTTTTAAAATGTTACACGCCTATAATGAGTTAGTGTTTTTTGTGTATGTACTATAGGAATTTTTTTAGGAAGTCATACTTTAAAAAATAAAAGAACAATATAAATTGCTTAAAATATTTATTTCATTTCAGAAGGTTAAATGGGATAAATTCGTAGTTACAACCGTAATTTTTTTTCTTTCTACCTACATGCTGAAGAATACATGAACTTTTGTGAAATCTGCAATGAAAAAAGAAGAAATTACTGTTATTATATTTCTCAAAATATATAGTATATATGGGTCATTCTCACAAAAACAGTCATTTTCATGTCCCCAGTATATTTTATGTTTGTTTTACAACTTACGGAAAAAAAAATTCAGGGAAAGTGTCCTTCAGAATGCAAGCTAACAAGAGAATAAAAATAAAATTATCAATTTTTATTTTTTATTTATTTTAGGTAATTAAAATATACCAATATGTCATTCCCTCACTTGTCCCCACTGCTGATTTAAAAAAAGAAAAAAATTGTTTCTGAAATAAAAATTTTTTTTTTTCAAATTCGTGTTTTTTATTTCAGAATACTGAAATATAGAATTCAGAAAATCAATTTTAAATTTAATTTCTGATAAAAATATTAACACAGCACTATTTTAAACTTTGTCCCCAGTGTTTCGCGTCATTCCCTCACAACAATGTTCTTATCACCTGCAATCTTCTTAGAATAAAAATATTTTAATAAAAACTTCAGAAGTTAACAACTGGCATCATAGAACAAAATTGCAGTATGTTTCCATCTTCAACTTAAAGAAGCTTTGCTGTGGAATAAATTTGAATGAATCAAACCAGGTAAAATTTTTTACATTTGTCATTCCCTCATGTCATTTTTTAGAGTAAAATAAAATACAACTTCATCGAGAAAGTGGATAATTATATGTTGCTTTCTTGTATGAATATAATTGTATGTGATTGACTTCAGAAATTAATTAGGCCTAACTGTTATTTTTAAATTTTATTGAATTCGTCATTCCCTCACTAGTGTATAAAGTGAGGGAATGACGCTGAAGTGAGGGAATGATTCAAGATGAGTATATTATTAAATTTTTTTTTGTTCAATCGTGCCAGCCAATTTTATTTCCCAAACCTGTAAAAACTATTAAATATATAAGACTAAATTATAATAAATATTAGATATACTTAGTATGTTATCATTTTCAAACTTTAGGTAGATGTAACTTAGATAAAAACATGTATTAAAATAAAATATCATTCCCTCACTATTAGTGTCATTCCCTCACTTTTTAAATAGTGAAAATAATTAATTTACTTATTAATTAATTTGAAAAATAAATTAAAAAATTAATAAATTAATTTATTAAATTAATTAATTTATTTATTAAATTAATTAATTAATTATTAATTATTATAAATTAATTAATTATAAATTAATTATTTAAAAAATTAATTAATTTAAATATTAAGTATAATTTATAGGATATATACTTTCTTTATAATGCCATTACATATTTCTATTAATATAAAAAGTTTCAGAGCTTTTTATTCACTTTACTTTTTCGGGATTTTATGAACTGAAAAATGACAGTTTTCGTGAGAATGACCCATATAATCTTTGAAATGAGGTGATATTTTTGTAAATGTAAAGTAACAACTATAAACATTATAACTTTGTTTTTTTTCTTAATTAAGTTTTTGATGCAGAATTCATAAAAACTCCATCAAGTCGATAAAATTTACACAATGTTTAATTTCTGTAAATAATGTCAAGAAAAATTAAAACAAACTAAAATGTAAGACTATCAATTAAAAATAAGATTTTTTATGTCTTAAAACTTCCATATAATATAAATTAATGTTATTTTTTTAATGAATTTTTTACTGAATGCATTTTATCTCATCAACTTTTGTAATATTTCATATCATGAACTTATGCTACGTGAAATATTTAAGGCAGATCAACTTATAACTTTTATTTGTGGGGTGAATAAATCTTATACTTTGTGTCTAGGTGATTACTTTATTTGAGAGATATAATGCACTGAATAGTGAAGACTGATAGGAGGAATTCATTTTCATCATTGCCACAAGCATTTCATTAATCTCTTCAGTAGTGCATAAATAATAATAATAATAATAATATTAAATAATAATAATAATAAATAATAATAATAATAATAATAAATAATAATTAAAATAATAGTAATAATAATAATAATAATAATAATAAATAATAATTAAAATAATAAGTAATAATAATAATAATAATGAAGCTTATTTAAATAACTCTGATAAAGTAACATCCTACCAAATTGATCATCTGGTTTCTTCATTCTTTCCCATCCAAAAATACCTCTTCTTAACCTAACACATTGAGAAGTCCTCCCAATCCTGAGTTTCTTCCAGCTATTCTACTGGGTTCAACGTAGGGTCTTTGAGGATAAGGTCTTGCCCTGAGCGGATAACCAGGGTAGAATGGCCTAGCTGGGTTGACAGGAAATGGTCTCGGTCGAATACCTATAGGTAACCTATAGGATGATCCGTAAGCGGGCAGCCATAGCGGAGACGGAATGTAAGGGTATCTTTGGTTATGACTAACTCCAACTTTTGCATTATCTGAAACAAATATGGAAACATTTTCAAATGTAATTTACTGATTTTGTCATTTAAGAACAAAAAAGACGATGTGTAAGTATACAAATAATAGAAGAAGCATTGTAGGTTTGATCCCCGTTATTTTTTTCATTATCTACTAAGATGAGCACTATACCAAACAGAAGCACTCGTTGTTTTTGCCCATTCATTTGAAATGAAGGCAATATCATACTTGATGCCATTTTCCCCCAGGAAATTAACTTTATCTGTTACTAGTTTTCTTTCCTCTTGCTTCAGCGGTCTTTAATTTGATACTTTGCGGAGAAAATGTGGCAAAAACTACCAGAACATTTTAAAATTTCCCATGCTTCTAGCTCTATGGGAATAACAAAAAGATTTTACCGAAGCTCTTTGTTAATGAGTTTGGTACAATTAACAACAAAATATGGCTTTATGAGATGGGATAAAATTTGTTAAACATGGTAAAATCTAGTTATTTTATCAGGATACGCTAGAGCATGGTATAAAAGCAACTTATTTGGTTCAATTTACTTTTCAGTTTTGTATTTTTTTTCCAAATGTGTGGTAATAAGAACTATAATTTGTAAAACCATAATTTCCGGCAAACCATTCCAACAATGGCTTAAGTACCTTATATTTTGAATTAATTAAGGAGAATTACCTCTTTTTTTTGGATAGAAATGTCATTACTTTCAGTACGGTAATTTTACGGGGATTTCCTTCTACGTGTAGATTAATTTAGTAAAAATCGGCATAATTTTTGTTAACTTTTACTTTGTTAACGACTATTTATTTTTTTTTTTTTTTACAAAATAGCTATTAAGGTAGGTTTGGCCTTTCGTATCATATTTTTGTTATATTTTTATCTTATATTATATTTTATTATCCTTTCAAAAGTTTTGGTTGACATACTACTGTAAAAAAAGAAATTGAGAAAAGACACTATTATAATTTCCCAAAATATAAGGAGCTAACGAAATCTCGAAAAAGAACAATCAAAAAATTCAAAAGAATTGTCTTTAGATAGTTAAGTTTGCTGGTTTGCTGGATAATTTTTCATTAGTAAATAAATAACTGAAATACCTTTAGAGCCATCTTGAAATTTGGACAGCAATAGCATGGAAATTTTTTTTAACTCCAATTGTAAAATTCATCAAAAAAATTTTATGAATTCGTGTGGGATGGGTGTCAGAATTTTTCATAAAGGTAATGTATTAAACATTTTTATTTATAATTTCACTCTTATTAATAGTTTTAAGTTGAATTTCTTTTTCCATATTTCAAAAAAAAAATTTTTGAATAAAGGTAGGATTGCCTCACTTTTTATCAGTGTTTTGAATTTTTTTTTCTCCGTGCTTTGATTTTTTTTTAATTTTTTTGCATTTGAGTAAAAACATAAAATTTTTTAATCAGTTTTAATTAATTTATTTTAGATTTTAGTCATGTTTTTTTTCAAAATGTGCTTCTATCGCATTTTTATTTACACATGTTTATTTCATTCTGTCATATGAAAAATTCTACCTATAAACAGAGAAAAAAATATTATAATGATTTTCTGCATTTATTCTTCTACTAGTTATAAAGAATTACTTTATGCATGTATTCCCCTTAAATATGTATTTTATTCAAAATTGCATAAATTCAAAAGAATGGAAAATTTTGGGAAAGATAATATATCATAATTTACTTTTCAAAATGTACTTTTGTCTTCATTAACACAAGACTTCTTTAAAGAATGTACATCTAAGCGTTTTATACAACTGTAATAATTCAATTTTCCAAACGATTACAGCGAACATCAAAAATAATATTAAAAAAAACGTTAAACTTGCCAATCTTAATTAAGTAGTTCAGCTTTTCACCGTAGCGTGGGGCGGAAATAGTTTGTTTCCATGTGGTTTCATAATACGTGATAAAATTTGGTAGTTTTACCATGATAACTTATAGCATGGCATGAAAACCATTTATTTGATTAAATTTTCATTTAGTTTTGCATTTTTTACTAAGTATGAGGCAATAAGAACTACAATTTAAAAAACCAATGTCATTACTATTCAGTACGGTAATTTGACAAAAACACTCTTTCTCCGCTCAGTATTAAAGGAAGTATAAGAATGTTTCTTACTGATAGATGACAGAGCTGTTCTGTCTCCATTAAAACTCGTTCTTGAAACGAATCCCCATTGAGGATAGGCCTCAACTGAATGTGCATGACTTTGTAAGATTGCAACAAACACTAAAATGAAGCTTATCTGAAATACATATCTAGAATTAGAATAATGAAAAAGTAAGCAATTGTACATTTTTTTATATATAGGTGCTCTATAGTAAGACAGTTGATCTCTGTTATCCAGACTGAGCAGTTCCTGAGAAGTTCCTAAATGGTGGTTCGCGCAACCCCGGGGTTGCATGGAAGGGTCACAGGGATTCCAAGAGTTCAAATTTTAGACAGGGAATTGATTTCATTTAAAAATATCCTTGATTCATTAAATTGAAATCGTAGATTCATAATATGAATCAATTTAAAATAATTTAACTGAAATCGAATCTATTTTAAATTATGCAGTATCAAAGATGTAGAATATTTTTTTAATTGATTATATTAAATTTTCTTTCACTTATACTTTTGTCTACGAAAAATAAAAATGTTTCTAAGACTTTGAAAATGGATTCCAAATTTTCAGAAGACAAATTCATTAAAGACATGCGTCAATATCAGACATGCGTTTGCTTGTAGGAACCAAGCTTATAGCAGGCTCTAACGTTTGATTTTAAGTATCTGACTATAGCTTTTGGTCCCAATAAATTTTGATCGCAAAAAGATTCGCTATCTTGTTTTTCAAAAAAAATTATAAAGAGCTATGTTTGAAAATATAAATGGATCACAATATTTTATAATAAAGAAACAAAATTTTCAAACACAAAAATACGAAAGCACAAAAAAGTTACAAAGCATCGAAAATTAGCTGTACTACTATTCAATCCATAAAATAACACTTAAAAAAGTATGGTGCAAAATATGGTAACATTTAACATGTTTATAGCTCTATGGGAACGCGACCACGAAGCTTAGTGGTTTTTACCAAAGTGCTTTGATTATGATTGTGGTGAAATTAACAGTAAAGTTTGGTTTTATAAACAGTGGTAAAATTTGTTAATTTCAGCATAATACTTCAGAGCATAGCATAAGTATAACTATTTATTCGGTTACATTTATTTTCCAGTGCATTTTTTACTAAATGTTTGGTAATAAGAACTATTATTTTTGAAGCAAGAATTCCCGGTAAGCCGTTACCATATAAACAGAAAATATCAAAATGAATGGTTCAAAAAACCTTTATTTTGGTTTTATTAAGCAGAATTCTATTTTTTTTTTTTTTTTTTTTTTTTTGCCAGAAATATCATTACCATACACTACAGTAATTTTACTAGAATTTTTTATCCGTGTATCACATAATCCATAAAAAAAGGACAAATTTATAGATTATGGGAAGGGGGACTTATTTTCCAAAGATTTACTGATTACTTTAGTTTCACTGGAAGTAGTCTTATTAAACAGTAAAGATTCAAAAATCACCAAAATTTTATTTTATAACTGTTGTTGAACAGCCGACCCAATTTTTGGGTTTACGGCTATTAATGTTCAACTCCGTAGCCTTAAAATTTTGAACCCAATCCAGAAGACAAGGGAATTCCTGGATCAAATATTGGGAGAAATTTGTCTTCGTGGAGGACTTTTGGATGGAACTAACCCGCATTTGCGTTACATGAAGAGGAAGACCACGAGGACTTTCCACGGTTAGCCTGACTGCGAAGGGATTCTAACCAGTGATCCGTCTACCACTGAGGATATTTCACATCAGCACCGTGGTCGATGCAAGCCGGATGAGGTTTCGTATCGACCAACCATCGCTGGATTCGAACCCGGTTCACCTCATTGAAAGGCTAACATTGTATCCCCTGAGCCATCGCGGCTCAATCACCAAAATTGCCGGAACCGAGTATCCGAAAAAAAAGGTTCTAATATGCAGTAAATTGTTAATTATCCATCTTATAATTAGAGATAAAAAATCGCTCATTGGGTTTTGGTGATAGGAGGGTTAAGAAGGTAAAATATTATTAACTTACATACGACAATTTAAACATGTGAGGTATTGGTTCCGATGCGGTTTTTCATTCTTGAAAAATGCTGCTTTCTGAAACTGTCCTTCTGCGTTTTTTAAAACATATTTCATTCCTATACGTTAATCACAATAAATTAGATTTAAAAAGCGTGGTTTTCTTAAAGTTAATTTGAAAACTTCGTGCAATATTTTGATCAATTTTGATTCATCTTTTTTCTTGCTTTAATTTAAGTCACTTTAGTAGTCAATTAAATTAATTAGTCAAATTCAGAATAATCAAATTTATGTTTATTCGTAATAACTTAAGCATTCGGAATAAAATGTATTAGAAAATTCCTTTTTATAAAAGTTTAACTAGTTTAAATTCGCTTCATTCAAATAATTTAATAAAAATAATAAAAATTTCCATAATTGCTATTATTTGGAACATTTGATTTTAATTACCATGAACTTCTATTAAAAATAAAAATAAAACAATCACAACGGAAATAAAAAGAATGAATAGTTTAAAAGTTATAAATAAATCATCATTTTTATAAAATAGTTAACGATTAAAAAAAAAGAAACTTACAGTGGGAAACATTGTTGAGCTTTGCGGAGAGAATTTAAAAAGCGTATTTAATAAACACTTCTCTAGATGGGCCAATTATCAATGTACTAAGCATTCACAGAAATTATTTTGCAACAGAAAATAGACAAAGAATGTATATCAATGTAATTGATAGTCTGTGAACTCGACCTCATAAACATTCCTATAAAATACCTAACGGCATTCCTATAATATTTTATTATATAACATAATTAGAATTTAAACTATATTATATAAAGCTAATTTGTTTCAAAACTTTTCTTCTTTATTTTTAACTCAAAGGTAAATAATGTTTTGCTGGTATCTTTTTTAAAGTAATTTAGCAAGAAAAAGCCACATGATTCTTTTTAAAACTATATTTTGATGGTGAAAATTTGAATAGTTTCGTGTTGTACATAACAAAAGAAAAAGTTTTTTTCTTGTCACCCACACTATGTCACATGGGGATGATGAATAAATAATGAATAAATTAAAAAAAAATCCTTTTACAATACAACAAAAAAAATTTCGTTCACTTATATTGGAAAATGAAGGTTCGTACATTTTCGGAAGTACAATAGTATAAGTCGAGAAAAAAATTAATATTTTTAATATTTTTAGTAGTCCAAACTTTCAATCACTTTCCTGGCCAAACTATTGTGAGACAATATTTTCCAGATTGGAGTTACCTCCCATATTACAAGGATCAACAATCCAAATCCTTAAGGAAAGAAAACAAGGTTTAATTAGAGAAAGTGAGTGTTTTTTGTGGCTTGAAATATTATCTAAACATATTAATAAGTACGCGGATGAAAAAAAAACTGACACAATTATTACGGTACTGTATGGTATTGACATTTCTGGTGAAAAAACCTATAATTCTGTTATTAAAAACCAAGATATACGGTATTTAAACCATTTATCAAGAAATTTTTCCATTGGTATCATAACGGTTTACCGGAAATTCAGGTTTTCAAAAATATAGTTCTTATTATCCCACATTTAACATAAAATACGAAATGAATTTAATCAAAAATTGAAATTAATCGAAAAGTAAATTTAATCGAATAAATGATTTTTTCTAAGATATCATGATAAAACTACCAAATTTCACCACATTTAATGAATAAATTCTTTCACATATTATTAAACCATATTTCATAATTATGGTTTTCCCAAAATTATCACCAATGTGTTTCGGTCGAAATTACCAAGCTTTTTGGTATTCCCATAGAACCATAATTACGGTTAATGTTACAATATTCTGGTAGTTAGGACCACATTTTTTCTCGGTGCATAATTTAAATTTAGACTCTTAGAATTGAAATTAAGCAGTAGTACGCGACAATCTAAACATTAGATCAAAAGTTATTAAAGATGTTCACTTTTTATTGCAAGAAATTGTGTATCGATATTTCAAAATCTGCAGCCATGTTGAACGAAATCTATAACAATCTTAATATGGGGCACAAAATTGAAGCACATTATCTGTTTCTATCAGTTGAAGCAACTTGAAACATTTTAGAATTGATTACACAACAGAACGAAAACATGGTTCAGTTTAAGTCCTGATCAAGATTACGGCTGTTTTGCACGATACTTTATTAATTGTGTCGATATATGCCTTTCAGTTATGAGAATTATTTCGTAATGTATTCATGGGCTCGATCCACGCACGGTTCAGTGTTTCTACTGTAATCACGGTTCATAATTTTTGACAGTGTTTGTTTTTGTGTTTCAGTTGTTTAATATTTTACTGATGACTTAAATAATTAGTATCAATAATAATAATAATATATAAGAAGATTTATAAAAGTTTTTCGCTGTTATGCGCGATACAAATACATACACAGATATAGATCGAAGTTTACAGTTAGTGCCAGGTTTATTAAGTATTTTTAAAATTTATTAAGTATTTTCAGGAGACTTTGTGAATCCTAAAACAAAAAAGTATAAAACAAAATAGAAATGAATAAAAATATTTTTTTTATTTATGCTTCCTTTTTTCTTTTCATTCTTTTTTTTAATTTTTTTTAAGTAGTGCGAAATAAAATATTGGGTATAACTCATAAGATGCGAGTTTTCTTAATCTCAGATAATTTTCCAAATACTACTGCTCATTTTATAAGATTATGTTAGAATAAATTGAAAGAAACTTTAATACGAAATTTCTAAGGAAAATAAATGAAAAAGTTGATTGTTTTTACACATTGCTTTGACATAATAATAGTAACGTCAATAAGGCCATCGATGCTTCTTCTGCTTTCTTTAAAAGTTAAATAAGAAATTTCGTAATAGATAAATGTTTTATAATCTGAATATAATGCCAGGAAAATAGACTGAGACTATATCAATTCGATTCTTATAAATTATACCCAATATTTTCTTTTCTTCTAATTCCTTGTGAAGAAAAGGGAGGGATAAATAAAGTTTTATAAGTTAAAGGATAAAAAATCATAGTGAGAAAAAAATTGTTTAAAAAAAAATCACTTAAAATTTAAATAACCGTCAAATAAATTAGAATCTTAAAAACACTCGTTTATAATCATAAGTAAAAATGGGCCTTACAGCATTTCAAACTTCAAGTTTATAATTGCATTTCTACGAGCTGCAGAAAGGCCCACCAAAGATATTCAAGTAATATTTTGTAAGATATTCAAAGAATATTTTCATTTTCAAAAAATTTGAGCTTCTTGGCAATATTAAGAGCAGCGCAATTTGATTTCAAAACTTTTGAGCATCTTTGAAATATTAAGTGCAGCAATGGTAAAGAGGTCAAGGTATTGAGCTTGCAAAGTGTGAAGTGTAAGGGTTTTATTTCTGTTGGAGGCTTGAAACTCACCATTTTCGACAGATGGAAGCCACCTTGTTTGGTTAAGTCCATTATGCTTCATCGAATTCAGTATTTTTTTAAAAATTCTATTTCACAGGAACTATTTGACCGATTTCACACGAATTTTGTATTTTGCCGTAAAAAATTACATTCTTTAAAACAATGTAAAATATTGCATAAAATAACCGAAAAGTAGACTAAGACTATATTAATTTGATTCTTATACGTTACACCCAATATTTTTTTCCTCTTTTTCTCCACAAAAGAAAATGCTATGTTTTCAATATTGGTTATTCTTGTTAATTTCGTTTTCAGATTAATCGATATTACGTTTCCAAATATCTCCGACTAAAGTTTCAGAAGCTAACTCATTTTGTAGAACAAGTCATTTTAATCACCCTAGATTTAAGTGCTGAATAAAAAAAAATTTTTTTTACGTGAAATGCAATTAATAACATTTGATGCAAAAACTATCGAAATATTTATATTTAATTAATAATTAAAGTGGTTAAACTTAAACTGCTTTTTTGGATTCAGTTTTATTTTTTTTAGATAAATTTATTAAAGCATTCCAACAAATTATTACACTAACTCAATTAAAATTGATGTACTTTTTTCAGTAGGGATGTTTTGAACCAAATAATTTACTAATTGTAACAATTTTAGGCTTAAATTACGAAGTTTTGATTAAATATTTGAAATATTTTTTTAATGGCATCAAAAGAGCATAAAATTTTGTTAAACTTTTGAGAAATAATTTCATAATATCGAGGTACTCAATAATGTTTGTAACTTTTCTAATACACTGCAGGGCAATTCCACGAAAGTGTCAACTTTTAAGTGAAATTTTTTTTTATGAATTGCATATTTTAATTTTATAAATATGTTCAAAAATAGCCGAAGTCTACATATTATTGTTTAATTTTTGATAATTTTAAGTTTTTTGAATCTGGCAGCATTCTAAAGTAATCACATGGCTGACAAGTGAATTCTTCACATTTGTGCTCAAATTGTTTTCTTGAAAAATACTTATAAAATAAAAGAAATGTATCTTTCTTTTGCAATATTTTGATAAAAATATGCATATAGTACAAAATTTAAACATTTAAAACATAGCCTTTAAGTCATTTTAAGTTTAATATATTAAATAAAAGTAACTTTTTTTTGTGTCATTCCGTCACATGTTTTAGTATATTTTTTTAAATAGCAACTGCGTTTTTGAATGAAAATGTGTATATTTTGGAATATAAAGCAGATGTGGCATAAGAATCAATGAGAAATTGTAAAATTCTATGCATTTGATTATTAACTTCCAATAATTAGCGTGACGGAATGACACATCTTCGGCGATGGAATGACAAAACGAGTCCTTGAGAAGCTTAGTCAAAAACTAGGGAATTATTTTTTTTTCAATTAACCTAATGGCTAAAACAGCTGTTGAAAGACAGATAAAATGTTGAAAAAGACCAAGATCCCCATGATATGATGAAGAAAAAAAACAGAGAAAGAAAGGCAGAGAAGAAAGCTTCCGCGACAAAAGTTGGACTTAAAAAACTCAGAAGTGCAAACGCTGTTGTGCAGAGATTGTGTAAACAAAGAAAAAATCAAATTCTACCAATCTCTTCACATACAAATAATTTAAATTCCCTATACAAATTCCTGCAGAGTCTTGGTAAAGCCATAAAAAAAATTTTACACTCACCATAAAAAAAATTGTACACTCACTTCCAAAATCACCAATAGAGGTAAAAAAATTAATTCAGTCTTTATGTGAGAAGTATTTAACATCGAACTCAAAAGAAACTAAGTGAGAAAAGTAATGTTGATGAGCTGTTTAATTTGGTTAAAAAAATTTTACTGTCAAGATGATGTTAGTTACAAGCCCCCAAGTATGAAGGATTCAGTCATAATACAAACTCTGACAGAGTAACGAAGAGTGCAGATGCAATATATACTTATGGCCTTAAAAGAGGCTTTTCATAAAGAAGCATATATTGATGTAAAGTGTGTCTTATCTCATTTTTGTTCTTATTCTCATTTTTGTTAAGTGTATTTCATTAATACCTCACAGCACATGCACCTATAAATACCATGTAATTGTGATGTTGTTCTAAAAGGCCAAACAAGATGTTGGCTGCTGTAAAACGGCACATAATATGTAAAAGAATTTTATGATTTCATAAAGTCGAAGCAACAAATCGTTGAAGTTTTGTTTTTGTCCAGCTATTCTATTTAAGAGAGGGCAAAAGAGAATGACTTCAGCTAGACACTTGCTACATTAGCATTGCCAGGAACAAGAGACCTGCACTAGATGCTCATGTAGTTGAGAAGCGAATCATCAAAATTGGAATGCTTTCTAATTTTAACCAAAACCAAGTGTATGATTTGAAAAGCCACTGTTTTGAAGAGGAAATGGAAAATATGATTGAGGAGTATGCGGTCGGCTCTTTAATCATTGTCCCATACTGCGAAAAAAAAGAAGGCACATTTATATGCAGCGCAAATTACTTTGATAAACAAAGACGATTTAGATGTTAAAGTATTTAAAGAACATGGGACAAAAATTGATTTATGCATAAATTTCCTGAGAACGAAGATAAGATGTGACATTGGCAAGTTAGATATAAAACCTCTTCTGAGACAACCTAATTTTCAAATTGTTGAAATTTTAACTGATTCTTACGTAAATATTAATTCTGTTTATCTGTTACATTCTGTTTATCATTTACATATTAATAAAACATTTTTTAAATGAAGACTTTCTTCCACTAAACTTTTTGTCATTCCGTCACGGTCATTCCGTCACAGCAAATAGATGTTAATAACTGCTAGCCAACCTGAGGTTAATTTTCCAAATTCACAATTTACATTGCTTACACATTATACTAAAAGTAAAAAATAGTTCAGGAAAATAATAGTTGCAAAATTCACAGAAACTACCAGTTCTAAGCGGCATGCCGAAAGCTTGGTTGCCAAAATGTCATTCCGTCACACAAGTAAAAAGTTCATAAAATTAAAAATAAAAAAAATACAAAATTCTTTTTTTTTAGTTTATGAATCACATTATACCAATAATAATGACATGCATGAGCGAAAATCATGTTTATTTGAAATTAGATGCATAGAAACTTCAATTAATTGTCATCATGCAAGTCAAAATGTCATTCCGTCACATATGGAATTGCCCTGCATAGATACAAGCTTTTTTAGCGCACAAGCTATTCTTTCCTGTAAGCATGGATAACGTTTGAAGCTGTTGTGTGATTGATACAGGATGATGGTTATAACAATAATTATTTTGCTTAGATTAGAATCATGTCCATGCTGGAGGACGGATATCAATAAATTTTAGTAAAGACAACGATCCATGTTTTAAGATCACGCTACGGCGTACGAAACGATTTACTTTTGATAAAAGTTGGACGATTAAGTTACTTATAGAATTCGTAAAAAAGACGGTAATGAAGGGCAGACTAAACATGAAGTGTCAGTTTGATTATGGATTATTTGGCAATCCCGAAACTGAAGACTGGTGAATAACTCCCAAGTAATATAAATGCTAGTTGTCTTTTTTAATGCAAATGGTAGAGGCTGGGTTAGCCTGGTTGGCTGGGCGTTGAACTCAGGTTTGTGAGAATGGAAGTTCGAATCCAGCCGGCCGAAGACTCCCCATGTAGTCAATGGTGACTGGTACACGTTAAATCTGTCGTGTCACAAAGTCCTCCATGTTCCCATAGCAAATCAATACCTCTGGGGGCACTGAATTGGAGATTGGTCTATCTTTGATACAGGTCAAAATTACTTTCTGTTGATGAGGGAATAGATGTATGAATTGGTCCGCCCTATAAGCGGGTGTGGCAGGAGTTAAATTCTTGGTCATAGATGGCGCCACTGGAAGACAAGAACAATCACTCCCCCTCTGCTTTAAAAACATTTTAAAAGGACACGACAGCAACTACAATGCAAATGGTGTGGTCTACGGAGTGTTTTCTGTACAAGTAAAGACTGTCTGCTACGTGAACTATCTGAAATTGTTTGGGAAAAGAATTGTTCTCATGTGAAAAGACATCGCCGCTACCCGGTTTCTGCTTCACGACCACTTACCATCCACACACTTCTGCACATCAATGAATTTTTGACGAAACCCGATTCTGCCGTAGAAAATTACTAGTACAGCTGTAGCTCTTTTCGACTTTTTTTTGTTCTCAAAGATTATGAATACACTTAAAAGGTGCCATTTTCTCAGCGTGAAGACTATCCAAGTTTTTTTTGCCAAAAGCTTTAAGGAAGAGTTGAGTTATTTTAAAAACCCGGCAACGTTCCAGAATTTAAAGAAAATCGCTTGTGTGAAGAATCGCTTGTGTGAAAATCGCTTGTTGTGATTTTTAAAAACAAATAAAATTATATTGTATTTTAATGTTTTAAAATCTTTACCTTTTGTTTCTAGCGTAAATTAGGGGAGTCCTGCTTTTAAAAAAGCATACATTGTTTACAACTTTAAGAATATTAATAAAATGCAAAATTAAGTTTTTGAAAGAGCTTTATACTGTGTGAAATATTTTTAATAGCATTACAGTAAAAAGTACCAGCTTCTCATGGTGCCGGTAATTTTTACGTTTAATTCGATTTTTAACGTGAAGTTTTACAGAACAACAAATTTGATGCATAATAATTTTTACAGTAATATTTAGTGTCAAATCGCAGAACCACTGTAATTAAATAAGTATCACGCTAAAAATTACGATAAAAAATTTTACGATTAAAATAGATTTTACTGTAAAATCGATTTTATGGCACTTAGAGTATTAGTACTTTTAACCATAATTCAATATGGAACTTTTTGCAGTGTAAATTATGTCATGTTTGTAGCCTTTTCGTCATGTCTTTTAACAGATATATTAACAAACATGACATTTTTAAGAGCAAAAATCAAGGAAACTGAGTAATTCGAATAAAATAATTAAAATTCTTTTCTACTTCTCTATAATAAAATTTTGAATCTATCAATTTTGAATAAAGTTTGAATAAATATTTTTATACAACTAATAAATAACTGCTATTGAAAGGTAACGACAAGTTAGAAAAATTTTGTATCGCAGTCAAGGGAAAATCTTATATTTTAAGAATTGTTTTTTTATTATCTTTTGAAAATATAATTTATAGCATTTAATACAATTATAAAATATGACAGATTCGAATTTCTGGGAAGCAACTCAGAAGATAAAGCAGGTTTTATGGTTTGGACACTTATATTTCAATTTTTTCAACAAATTTTTTTAAATAAAAACTTTTTTTTAAATGAAGCTAAAAAATTTATATTTTTTATACTTGAAAGTGTTTACTGACGCTCATGTTATAAAGAACCATGTAAACTTTGAAAAAAATATTTTTTAGTTTCTAGATTCCTATTGCGGAAAAAATTTTATTCGAATCAAGAAAACAACCCATTCACTTTAATAAGATCTTCCAGGTAGAGTTCCAGAAGAAAGTGGGGAAAAAATGTGCAGATGCTTATGCCTATGTTGATGATTTTAATTCTACAAATTACGTTGAAGATTTTTATCAGCATCGTCAATAAATATTTTTTTCTCATTAAACTTCATGAATTTTGGAACACACCTCATTTACCTTGATATTTATCAATCATGTTCTAAGACAAAAAATTAAAAACACAAAAAATAGTCACTAATTAAATGTTGAGCAACTTGTTTTGTTATTTCTATTACTTTAATTTTAAAATGTTATATCAAAAGATTATTACAAGTAAGTAATAATATTTTTTCTCTTCAACTTTGCCAGACGAGAATTAGAAACTTCCTACATTTTTTTTAATTCTTCATTATACATAAAAGCATCTATAAAGTGGTATATAATTATCTCGTAATAAGCCCTTCATTTGCTTCTTTGTTTGATAAAGCAATTTTAAGTTATTTCGATTCGACCCCAATATTTAAGTAATTCAAATGTATACACTAAATAAGCACGTTTTTTATATTCAGTTTGATTACATTAGTTTCTTTTGTGTTATCTGGTTAAGATATATTGATATTAATAGGGTATATTGGCATTATGATCGTTGTAAATCTTAAACTTTAAGCACTTAAAAGTTTAAAGACAAGTTTATTAGTAATATTACATATTAGACTTGATTTATTGCAAGATATTGATAATCCTTCTCGGGATTTTATGTATAATGAAAAAAGGGTGAAAAAAATCTTCGTTTGTAATTAATTTCTGAGTAACTAAAAGCAAAAAAAAAAACTGGTAATGAAAAACTTATGAGTGTTTCTCTGATATTTTTTTGATGAAACTAAGTATAACTGAAATGGGTGTTATAAAGAAGGAATTTACTTTTTTCCTCATCTTAAATCTCAATAATTTGAGTACAACCAAACCAAAAACTTGACCACCATTCATCAATTTAACTAACTATTAACTTCACATTTAGATTAGAAAAAATATTAGTTTCGGAGTCAATGACCTCTAAACTGAAAGAACATCATTGTAGACAATATCGGGCAAGTGTGTTCTGGACAATAGACCTTCCCCGCTATTCCCTACACTGGTGTTTTCAAGTGAGAGAAAATTACTTGGGAGAAATTTTCGGTTGTGATTGAAGTCATTTTTTAAGAAATTTTTTCTACCACGTATTTCATTTTAGATTTGAAAAAACACAATTATTTTCTCTTTTTACAGCTTATTTGAAACACTTTTGCTGTAGTTAATTATTTTAATACATTCCTGTAAAATGTTTCTAATTTCCCATTTTTTTAAAAAATTTATCGTTGCATTCGCACATATGGTAAGCATTTTGCACATATTTTAACTTAGTTATAGGGATAGTAAATAAAAAAAGAATGATTTTCAAATATATATGCATAAAATGTTCCAATTTGCCCATAAAGGAATTCCCCAAAGATATCACAAAAAATGAACATTTTATTGTTTGAATGAACTACAAAAACATTGATAATCTTTTACAGAAGTTTCCAAAGTTGTAGATGAAATTATAAATCCGTTGTCAGTATGTTTCCTGAAATAAAATAAAAGTTTTAAGAACATTTGAAGTTTTGTACTTAAGTTTATATTAATTACTTCCTTAAAATAATTATAAATCCTATATGTTACCTGTAACAAAGTGAAATTGAATAGATTAAGTAAGTAATTGAACATTTTAAAATCATGTGATCATGTGTTCTTATAATCAACACACATTATGTAATTAAACGTTAATTGATAAAGTTTATTCTAATCTGTGAATGTTAATACCAATTATATTGCAATTTTGTATGCAGCACAAGACGTCGTAAATTCCTTCAAGATGAGTTTAAAATGTGTGTGTCACAGAAAAAACTTTATTTTGGTATTTTTGGGTTGTTCTTTGTAACTTTAAAATTATTTCTGAATTTAAAAATACATTTCGTTGAAATATACCTTCGTTTTAGAAATTTTTGAACGTTTATGATTACACAATTTACTTTCGTAATTCGAGTAATTTTTGTTACATAGTTTATTATTTCCACAAATAAAACCTGTTACTTGAGTACAAAACTATTTATTTTTTATCAATCTCCCTAAAAAATACCTACCACTGTCTTAAAAATAAAAATGTAATTACCGAATTTATAACAAATACGGTTTATAATAATTTGTATACATTAGTCATGATATTGTCTGTATCAAGCTTTCTCAATTTTTTTGAAACACTACAGAAATATATCTACGTAAATAAAAGTTTCTATTTAAATGCAATTGTTGAAGCGATTGTTTGAAGACTTATTCAAAAAAGTTTTGTTTATTAGTAAAAAAGCTACTTTTTGCAAACTGCAAACTTATCATGTTATTTTTGCAAAAAGAAAAAACGAAACACTAAACTGAGTATCTGCATACACTCTTATAACGAAAGTTTGTTGACGCGTCAATGATAGTATTTTGTGGGGAAAAAGTAACTTGTTGCAAACTGTAAACTTATCATGCTAGTTTTACAAAAAGAAAAATAAGAATACTAATCTGAATATCTGCATGCATTTTTATAAGAAAAAATCGTTGGTGAATTAATGACTTTTCTAAAGCCTACTTCGGTGTTAGCAAGAATCATTGATATTAAAATATATTTTTTATTTTAAAGTACATGGAATAGTGGTCAATTATTACTATTATATGGGACGAAATTCGAATTTCTCTGTTCGTCTCTTGCTCTTTGTAATTCAAAATCAAAACTCGAAAACAAATACTAACAATAAAACAGAAATATGCTTCTGAGAAAAATTTTTTGAAAATTTTGCATTGAACACATAAAGAGATATTTCTTAAGAGATTTAAAGAGAAAGTAAAAATTAAATTAAACTGTTAAGACGATTGAGATTGCTTGACCACCCTGCAATGTTTGAAGTACATATACTTGAATTCTTTAATAATTTCTAATAAACTCGTAATTTTTTATAATGTGATTTATTAATCTTTGATACATTTTTGAGATTGTTTAAGGATTAAGGTAACGCCAACAAATTAAAAGTAAGTAACTCAACTTTTATTAATTGTAATTCTGCGATTCATTTCAGATAATATCGCCATTTTCCTTTTGTGTTACTTTTATTTAGAATATACAATACGAAACATCTATAAATGACTGTAAAACATTTTCTTACCTAATCAGTAAACTCCAATCGAAATTAATTTTTAACCAAAAATTCCTCCTCCTACTCCAACTCCACCTAATAATCCTCCAAGCAATCCTCCTAAATCTAATCCTAAGAGGCTGTTATTATTTTCAACTATTCCACCACCTCCTCGTCCACTTACTCCAGAGGTTGGCCTGGAACCTGGCCTAACAATTGTTGGCCGGGATGCTATAGGTCTAACAGCAATTGGTCTTGGTCTGTAGTAAAAGTTAGGTGCAGTTAGCCACCAAGGGATTGGCACGAATGGAAGAACTTGACGCTCGGAGGTGCCAACTTTTGCGTTACCTGAAACGTTTATAAAATTACATAGTAGAGAAAGAAAACCACAAGATAATAAAATAATGATATATAGGATATCGCGAATATATCGTGAAAACAATTGAACTTAAATCATCTAGATTTGAAAGAAAATTAATTTTTTGCATAATTTTAAGAGTTACATAGTTCTACCATCTATCTCTAGGTTCCGTGTATGATTATTTGCAGAATTAACTAGTTAAAGCATCTAAATCCTAAGTACTTAATCGTTATCTTGTTTCCCAATGTAAAAAAGAAGAATGCTTTAAGTAATTTTTGATCTAATGATCGAATCTTCGCGTTTTAGGACTCAATCTTAATAGTTTGAGAAGGTGACTTCAAGTGTGCAAATTAATTAGTGCAGATGATATTTTAAGTTAAAGCACACAAAAAATCTGCTTTTTCTAAGCCTTTACGCATTTTCTTTATGCCTTTTTTACTACGGATTCAGATTTCTGACCCCAAAAATGCAGGGGTAGCTGTGTTAGTGGAGATATGGTTCTGATAGTTCGGTCTGGAGAGCACTCTAAAGCTTGAGTTACTTAATGTTAATCTTATTTTTGCGTATTTTGCCATATCTTGAGAACTTTTGAGGCAAATTGAAAATTTTTTGTACGAAATTATAAAGCTCGCTTATCCAAAGATAATTCCATGTGAAAAACATCTTTTAGAAAATATTTAATATTTTTTATTATTTTATTCAATAATAGTACAAAAAATTTTGAATTTTTACGTATATAATTTATTGCTACGTTTATTGTTATTATTACGCATAAATTATACAATTTATAAGCATATCGTTTTACATGCCAAATCGCCAAATTTGAACTTAATCGATCGAACACTTTCTTACAAATCAAAATTTTCACTATATGATTGAATCAAACATTTTGCTGTACGAAAAAATTTTGAATTGTAGGGTAAAGAATTTTTTACATCATTTTAAAAATGTCATTTTGCAAATCACAAAAAAATGGGCAAAATCGGTCGATTAGTTCATGAGAAATCGAATTTCTTTTCTTTAAAAAAATTGTATTTTTAAAATTAGATATCTCAATGATTCATAAACAGTGTCTAGAACTCGTTTGAGACAAGTGATTTACCTCAATCACACCACCACCTAAGTTCCCATGACTTTGTCTATACAACTTTTTTTTATGGGGTTAAGTCAAAGACGCTATTTATGAACCACCGATGCCGAAACAGTACAAAAATCGTGATAACACACTTATGCATCATTAGGAATAGGAAAAATCCAGTAATAACGCATTTATGTAGTATTTAGAATAGTAAAAAAAATTCTTTTCTAACGTATTGATCCAGTATTAGGAATAGTAAAAATGAAACCCTACTGACACATTTATGCAACATTAGGAACAGCAAAATAAAAAAAAACTTAATAACTCATTTATGCAGCATTGGGAATAGCAAAAAAAACGTTGTAACGCATTGATGCAGCATTAGGAATAGCAAAAATAATCCGTTATAATGCATTTATGCAGCACTAGGAATTGCAAAGAAAACGGAATAACACATTTATGCAGCATTATGAATAGCAAAAGAAAACCGTTATAACGCATTGATACAGAATTACAGCATTAAGATTAGAAAAAAATCGTAATAACTCATTTATGCAGTATTAGGACAGTGTGAAACTAAACATTTTGTGGAACGATTTTGATTACGTTAGATGCTTGTCAACTAACAAAAGGATCAGTCCTCAAATAATTTTAACTGAAAAAAAAACTTGGCATATTTTTCTTTAATTTTATGAATCACTTATAGTAATACGCATAATAGTCACTAAAATATATAAATATTTAAATTTCTAACCCTGTATTGAATTATAATATAATATTCAAGAATTAATTAAAACGGTCACTGAAAGAGAAGAATAGTTAAAATTTGAAAGAAAGAAAAACAACTTTAGAGTTTAGAATCACACATCTAAAAAACACACTGAAAAGATTCAAAGAATTTGTAAAATTTTTAGTATTACATGAAACAAGTACATAAAAATCCTCCTATCTTGTAACAATGGATTATCGTAAATTTTACTAATTTTTCGGTTTAATTCAGTTTCAAACGTAACTACAACAAAATTCCCTCCATGCGTTAATTCTGATCAATAGCTCCCTCTGCAAAAATGACGGAAATAGTTTGTTTTTTCCTCTATTCAATGCAACTATACTGTTAAAAATATTGCTCTTTGAAAAATGCTTTTAAAGTCGCTTCAACTTTAATGCGGTTCTAAGTAAACCATTATTTTCCCTTCTTGTAAAAGTTGAGTGTACGTTAGTATAGGTCTTCTTGACAGAAACACGATTCCGTTTAATATATTATTAAAGTTAAAGTAAATTTGCACCGTATAATGTTTCAAAGAAAACAACGTTAAGCCTAATAACAACATTAAGCCATTCAACACTAAACCAAATTTTCTAATAGAGTAGCATGGTAAATTATATTTTTCTTAAAAAATTTTAGGATTTTAAACTGATGAAAAAGTTTTTTTTTAGTTCATCCAAAATGCCTTAAAATTACTAACCTGAGATATATAAAAAATATAATATTTAAAGAAAATATTTCGAATTTATTTAAATTACTTAATCAAATACTGTAATTTGTTACAAATTAGACTGATAAAAATAACTATTATACTGCCCGAGACAGTCCATAAATAGTTTTAAAATTATTTTGCTTACCTAAAGATGTAAGGAACTGATTGTTTCCATTTAGACCAAACCTTGATACGGTACCCACTGGTAAACCACCCAAAGAAGATGCAGATTGTGATGATACAGCTTGACTTTGAACAAAAGTGGAATGAATCAGCAAGCTTAATCCACACGAAACTAAAATAATTTTTGCCTGAAAGGATTCAAAATTATTAATGGCGATTGGAAAACATCATATACACGGAAAAATAAATTTGAATGAAAAAAATAATTACTCAGACAGCAACATTGTGGCAGGATATTTCAGTTCATGCATGGAGTTTATTTTCAGAAATGTTATTTTTATCTGATAGTGTCGTTACTTTGCAGAGATTATAATTTTTTGAAAAAGTTTTTCGTAAGTGAGAAATTTATATTTATAAATATCAAATTGTCTATGAATAAAAAACTCAATAAAAGAATGCAATTTTACCAGAATTTCGTTCTCCGGGTAGATATTAATAGTTATTTGTATTAAAGCTGTAAAAATCTTACCTAAGCAGTTTTGTTTAAATTTCAAAGCATTGATTTAATTTCAAAGCAAAGTAAAAATTCCATGTTCAATAAAATTACAATCTTAGAAATTTTATGGTTACCATGTGCGATTGTATTCAATCTATAAGAAAATAAATGTTTATTAGCTTGAAACTCTTATTCGTAAGCAATTATAGGAGCACTTTTTTTTCTGTTTAGTATCAATAATTTCAAATAAAAAGTTTTTTTATAACAAATAAAAAAATTCTGATACAAATAATTTTGAGACAAATAAAAATTCATAAAAAATTTTTTTCTTCCCAAATGCGTTTCTTTTTCTTTTTAATAAAAATAAATTGTTGCTGACTTATAAACACAGAAGATTTAACAATAATTAATTTTTTTGTCTTGATTTTTATAGTGTTTACACAGATTATAGTATTTTTCATATGCATTTTAAAATAAATCAAATTTCCAGAAAAATAAAAAATCATGAGATTTTTTATTAGTTTTATACTTCTAAGTTTCAAAAATTCAAAGTTTCGTTTATAAATTCATATATTTTATAAATTCATAAACAAATATAGATATAAGTTGAAATTGTTCGAAAATAAAATAGCTTATTCCTTGAGAACCGTTCTTTGTTTTAATCAAAATCTAATTAAAGTTAAGCTTAAATTTGTATGATTGTGCAGTTTCCAAATTGAAATCAGAATTTAAAAGAAATACATCTACTACTACAATTTAAATTTTATAAACACAAAAATCTTAATTCTCTTAGTATAAATTTCAATTTCAATTAGAAAATAATCATCTTTAATTAAACTTTTTAGCTTTGACTTTAGTTGTATGCAAATTTATAATTCCCTTTAAGTGTTTTTTAATAAAATTTAATTACTAGAAGTATAAAAATTATTAAAAGTAAATTTTAGTAAAATTTTGCAAATTATTTGAAAAATTATCAACTAAAAATAAATTATGCAAACTTACGTATTGAAACATTGTTCAACTTCGTTATGAGTTACTATGAGTTTGTACTAGCGAAACAGCTACAGACTGGGAAAATAGTGACCGGTTTTATATGCTTCTAAAGACAATAAGTATTTAAGTTAAGATTTTTTAAACAATTAGCTTTGGAATTATAGAAAGTACATATTTTATATTTTTTTAAAAGTTTTGAACTGTCTAAAAAATATATTGAGTAACATAAAATGCAAATACCATTGTTTAATTTTGCTGATCTGAAATGGTCATTGTGATTTATGGAATTTAGACTAGGATTCAAATTTCTAGACAACATTTTTTGTTAATCGTGTCTGTAAATTGATCACGTGTTTTCAATAATTGTGATGTTTACACGTGTATTCATTGAATACAAGTACATAGCAGTAAGAAATAACACTTCGAACTGATTTTCTGGAGAAAAAAAAACAATTTTATAAGAAATAAGACCTTTATTATTTTTTAAAAAAATTTATTAGTTTTTATGTTCAAACCTTCGATTGCTTTATAATGATTTTGATTAATGCAATAACAAGAACAGATATGGCTTGCTTTTCTCTGGTAAAACTATGTTGTATATTTTAAAAACTTCCGGACCAGGGTACTTTTTTCAAAAAAAAATCTATTTCTACCGGAACATGACACGGAACAAAATGTGTTGTAAATCTAATGTACCACAATTCTTACAGTAATAATTACCACTAAATCACTGAATCACTTTTATTAAATAAATATTACTCTAAAATTATGGTACAATATTTTACGGTAAAAATGAATTTTACAGATGATGCATACTAAGTGCCGGCACTTTTTTTAAGATGTATATAGCCTTTTTTTTACAGTGTAAGGTATATTAACTAAAGCTTTAAATAGTCAAGTTAGGCATAAAAATATTGTTATGATTCCTCAGCTATAGTTTAGTAACTGAAGGTTTTCACGGTTTTTATTTACTTTTCATTCCTTAATGCACAATTAATGAAGTTATCTTTGCGACAATTTTAATTTTGTCGAACTATTTAAATTATTGAAAAATTATTTATAATATTTCGATTCCAAAAAAAATTTGAATAGCTATTATTTATTTGCTGAAATTCTGGTTCAAGTTAAAATTTGTCTGAGTAAAAACATACATTCTTTTAATATTAATAAAAAAACGCTGGGTCAGTCACTCGGGGGAAAAATCTGTTGACTGTTTTAAATTATATAACTTTTAATAAAATTTAAAATATTTCGAAAACTTCAGATAACTATTTATAGTTTTACTTACATTTCTTTTTTAACACTGTTATAATTATGTCCACACTCAATAATTTAATGTTTCACTCATTGTTTGCTAATGGTTTCACCACAAAAATATAAAAATAAATTAATATTGGTGCACTTAAATTACGAAAAATTATTATATTAAAGCAAGTATTAAAAGAAAGAGTTTAAGTTTGTGTACCAATACCATTTGCTCTACACTGTTAGAATTTTCATTCTAAAATTATGATAAAATATCTGGCAGTAGTCTGCCATCCGATTAACCATAAAATTTACCATAAAGAACATTTTTTACCTTTACGGTTTTGAAACCGTTTACAACTATTATGATTATAAAATCATGGAAACAAAACTATACTATTATTTTTTTTAAGGTTTAGATGGTTAAAACATCTAAAATCTTAAAAAAAAATTTATCTAGATATTTTTTTTTATTTCTTATGAGCTGCACAATCAGTCTTCCCCATGAGCAGACCTAGTGCGTTCTCCAGAAGTGGTATCCACTCATTCAGGACCACCACAATGGATGAGATACCGTTGGCCATGTTAATTTGGACGTGTAGTTTCTGCCACACTAGATGGCAGCACCGAGACTCTATTTGGATGCTGAAGTGCACTAGGAATTTAATTTTGCCGGAAATGCCAAGAGCCAATAAGGCACTCCAAGAATCTTTTACATGCCGCATAATCATACGACATGGCCGCTGAGGATTTTCTGTATTTTATCTAGATATAGGAGTTAGACTTTTCGTTAGTTAAATGGCATTGGAGTATGTAGGACACGAATTGCGGAGTGCAGGACCGTGGAAACTCATTATGTGTTGAAGGGAATATTGTGGCGTCAACGCTAGGATTCGAACCCCAATTTTATCGGTCATGAGACTGTCAGTGTGATGCCAGAATTGGCATACACATATTTATTTTCTATCTTTTAAAATATCCTTCATTACTTAAGCTTATTTTTATTAATAGAATTATTTTTAAAATAAATCAAAAACTTAATCTTTTTAAGCGAACATAAAATATTTATTTCTTCTCTTCCAGATCAATGTAACGGATACTTTCTTTTTATTTCATTATTATGCAGACATATAAATTCACTGTCGCCTCTAATCGAAAACAAAAATCTATTTATAACTTTTTATTCTAATAATCCAACGGCTAAATGTTTCGGTTGCATGGTTATAATAATTCACATAAATTTGTTGGCGACTCGTGATCGCCAAGGTGTTCTTTTAAACCCATGTGGATATGCTAGTTGGCTTTGTTTTTGGCTATGATATATTATGATAAATCGCCAAATTTTGGATCTCCTACCCATACTCTTTCTCTGTCCGTTGAGAATAAATATATTCACTTTGAATTTCTAAATTGGTGAGACTGGGACCCCTTCTGGGGGTCCTCCCCAGTCTTTATTTTATAACCGTCAGAAATGTTGTTCTGGCTTTATGATCTCTCAATAGAGAGTATTATTATTTCATCCCTTTAAGGGATTTCTTATTTTGAAGATGTGGCCACTATCTGATTCAAATTATACTTAATAAAATCTAAATTTACATTCAATGATTTGCACATTATTTCCTGGAAACTCAACTGTTATTGTTTTATTCATTCAATATTGGCCTAAATGAACATTCATAATTCCACTATACAACCCAACGATACGGCTAATGACGGGGAAGCAAGACTTCCCTCATCATAGTCAGATTATTTCTCTCAGCTATAATATGTTCCCATTTGCAAAGAACTAAGTGGCTTTATTAGGTGGGCTTAACTGGGGCGATAAAATGTTGGTTGCTTAACCGTATTACGTAAGAGCAGTTAATAAACGATTTTTCTCACAGTTAACAGTTTAATACCATCTTTTTTATGGTTATATGATTGTTTCGTTTAAATATGGTAAAAATTGTTATTTAACCATTTCTTCCGAGAAATTTCTAATAGTGTAGGGGGCTGAAATTTTGAACTGAGGATAAACGGCAATAAAATGGAATTTTCAATAAATAAACTCTACAATTAAGTTTACCATATTGAAATATAGAATGTTATATTTTATTTTATAACCGTTATTAAACAGCGAACACAATTTTGAGTTAACGACAACCAGTGTTCAATTCCGTAGCCTTGTAATTTTGAACTCAATCTAGAAGAAAAGTGAACGTCTTATGATCAAGTATTGAGAGAAATTTGCTTTCGTGGAAGACATTTTGATGGAATCAGCCCACTTTTGCGTTACATGGAAAGGAAAGACCACGAAAATCCCCTCGGTTAGCCTGACGGCAAGGGGACTGTACCTCAGGATCCATCTACTACTGAGGTTATTTTATATTACGTCAACACTGTGGTCGATGGGAACCGGATGCGGAATTCGTATCAACCAGCCTACTCTGAGATTCGAATCCGGGTCATCTCATAGGGTGGCGAAAGCTCTATCCCATGAGCCATCACGACTCACAGAATGCTATAAGAAGTTTTATCAAATTTTTAAAACTTTTTTTAGGTGTTGTTGAAAAAATTTGTCTTTCAAAGTAGGCGCTGATTCAAAATAGGTTGGGAAACTGTGGCTTAAAGCATGTCCTAAAAACCATTTAGGTTAAATATACTTTTCAGTTTTGTATTTTTACAAAATGTGTGGCAGTAAGAACTATAATTTTCAATTTATTTTATCTTCATTTTACGATAGCTTGTTATATTATAGTGCATATTTTACCAAATATCAATGTTCAGTATTGGAAGCGTTACATAATAACATAAATATTAAAATAGTGCAAAATACTAGAATATGAATATTAGAATTGAAAATCCTCTTTAAGCAATTCTACATAAGTAGAATATAACTTCAAATTGTTTTTAATGAGTGTTTTGGGACTAATATGGGTTCCTGGACTTTACGCCCTCTCTTGAGGTAAACCTTAGCTTTATATTAAAAAATAAACAATTTAAGGCAATTAAATTAAATAAACTTGAGGTTTGACGAATTAAAACAGATGTTCAATTCGACGAATAATATGCAGTTAGTTGTAAATAGAAAATTTTGCCAAGAGTAATAGATACCTATAATACCGCGAATTTTCTCTCAGCTCAAAATGCAACAAATATCCTTTCAGGTGATTTAAGAAACTTGCATATTCTACAATTTGTCAAAAGAAAAACTTTATGAAACATAACCATAAAACATTTCTAGAGTTGTCTTTGTGACAGTCATTTTAATATCTTCAAAATACTTCTGATTATCATGGTTTAAATATTTTTTGGACGCTTTTCTGCATTTTAACTTCAACAAATGTTACAAAAGATACTATCTGAAATCCTGATGCCAACGTTTTTCGCTGTACTGGTTATTAGTATGAGAATTATTCTACAAAAGTTACTATATGAAATCCTGAATCCAACGTTTGTTGCTGTACGGTTTATTAACATGAGAAATTTGTTACAAAAATTACTGTATAAAATCCTGATTCCATCGTTTTTCGCTGTCACTGCATGGGTGATTAATATGAAAACTTTGTTACAAAAGTTACTATCTAAAATCCTGATTCCAGCATTTTTTTGTTGTACGGGCTATTATTATGAAAAATTTGTTACAAAAGTTACTATCTGAATTCCAGATTCCAACTTTTGTCGCTGTACGGTTTATTAACATGAGAAATTTGTTACAGTTACTGTATAAAATCCTGATTCCCTCGTTTCTCGCTGTAAATGTATAGGTGATTAATATGAAAAATTTGCTACAAAAATCTAAAATCCTGAATATCTGAAATCCTGATTCAAGCGTTTGTTGCTGTACGGTTTATCAACATGAGAAATTTGTTACAAAAGTTACTGTATGAAATCCTGGTTCCATCGTTTTTCGCTGTGCGGTTTATTAGTATGAGAACTTTGTTGTAAAATTTAGTATTAGAATCCTGATTCCAATGTTTTTCACTGTAAAGGTTATTTATATGTCAGCTTTGAGGAAACATTTTAAGTGCGTAATACTTGAATATATTGGTTATTCATGCTTTTTTTTATTTATACTTCCTTTAATTTATACTTAATTGTTTATTTATACCTGATATTTCAGCATACAGTATATTTTTATTATTTAAAGTCTACTGAAAGGCTGAGTCCACTTTTTAATAACAAAAATATAATTATCATAACTGTAATGCATATAGTTCAATAGATTAAATATTTTGGTCCTAAAATTATATGTATTGAGCTGTGTCATCAATGTGTTTGTTATAAGAAAAGAATTATTTTCCTAGTATGTGTGATTTGTTACAATTTGTTTTATGATTCTCTGTTGTGGTATACATAAACATACCACATCGAAAAGTTAGATGTCAAGATGTATGAGATTATATTGACCACCCTATAAATTTTTGAAGATCACAAAACTCAAGTTCTATTGAATTCTGTATATTTAATAACAATAATGAACAATAATTCTGTATAATTATTGTTCATTAAATTTTATAAAAATTGCTTAATATTTTTAGTGGATTATGTTTCGGTCAAGCAATGAAAGGTAAATAACTGATGTAACATAATCAATTAAGTAGATATAGTATAATTAATTTCTAAGAAATAACAATCACCATTTTCTTGTTTCCCTCTTTTTAATTTAAAATATACAATACACTTTATACACAAATGAATGAAAAAATTCCTCTGACTTAGTAAATGAATTCCAATCGAAATTAGTTACTAGCCAAGGATCCCTCCACTTCCTCCAAGTCCACCTAATAATCCTCCAAGCAATCCTCCTAAATCTAATCCTAAGAGGCTGTTATTATTTTCAACACTTCCACCACTTCCTCGTCCACTTACTCCAGAAGTTGGCCTGGAAGCTGGCCTAACAATTGTTGGCCGGGCTGCTATAGGTCTAACAGCAATTGGTCTTGGTCTGTAGTAAAAGTTAGGTGCAGTTAGCCACCAAGGGATCGGCACGAATGGAAGAACTTGACGCTCAGAGGTACCAACTTTTGCATTACCTGAAACATTTATGAAATTACATAGTGGAAAAAAGAAAACCACAAGATAATTAAATTTTGATACACTGAAAAAAATTTCGAATTGCAATACGCATAAAATATCGTCACTTTCGGTATATCATCCATAAAATTCATTTTATCCTGAAATCCATTTTTAAAGCAAAATATTATACAGTAATTTTTACAGTAATATTGATTTAATCAGAATGATTCAGTGATATTACGGTAACTAGTACTATAAAAATCACAGTATGTCAGAGTTGTTAATTCCAGCAAAAATGCATTTTACGGTAAAAAGTAACAGTACTCTGAGTGCTGGTATTTTTTACCGTAGCATATGATGTAGTATATGATGTGTGTATTATGATGTAGAATTTTTTACAGTGTATATAAAACGATATGAAGTATATTAAAGTAACTGAAAGTAAATTTGGTGACTTATAACGCCTGTTTTGAAATAATTAATCTTTTGACTTACTTCATACATGTAGTAGTCCATGTAGTAGTCCATCGACCAATAAATTCCATGTAAGGTTAGTTTCTGAGTTATCTATTGTTGCTTCTTGACAGAAGCCAAATGAGATAAAATGTCTGCTGGAGTAAAGAAACAGGTTTGAGAATCCATTAAAAGTTAGAGAATCGATGACGAAGTGGCGATAAAAAAATTAATTTTATTTTAATAATAAATAGGAAAACCAAACTGTTCGAGATTATTACCCGTAAAAAATAACAGCCTCAAAATATTCAAGTGACTGCTAGCAAGGCGCAAGTTCAGATTTCTATGTCAAAGTATTTATTCGTTTTAACTTTAAGACATTTAAAAAATTTAAAAACTTCAATATTAGTTTATTCTATCAGAGTATAAGTATAAACAATTATATGACTAATTAGCATTTTTTAGCTACCTATTATTCATTTTCTAAAGAAGAAATAACAAATTTACGTTTTCGTTTACTATTTTTTTAATTCAAATGTGCATTCTTTTAAAACTCTTTGTATCATAAATTAGAGTTGCAAGAAAAAAGTACTTACAGGAGTTACATAATCAGATACAATATTTTTTTATTGATTACACTGATAAAAATAGTTATTATTCTGCCTGAGAAAGTCTATAAATAGTTTTAAAATTATTTTGCTTACCTAAAGATGTAAGGAACTGATTGTTTCCATTTAGACCAAACCTTGATACGGTACCCACTGGTAAACCACCCAAAGAAGATGCAGATTGTGATGATACAGCTTGACTTTGAACAAAAGTGGAATGAATCAGCAAGCTTAATCCACACGAAACTAAAATTATTTTTGTCTGAAAGGATTCAAAACATTTAATGCTCACGGAAAATATTATACACTCTAAAAGAAAAAGAATAAATCTGAGAAAAAGTAGTTCAACCAAGTTTATCGAGATTTCTCATTTCCTTTATGAAATTTTTCATGACTTTTGCACGAAAAATTAAAAACATTTGATTATTTGAAAACACAATTAAGCAAGAAAAAAATTAGTAAGAAACTTAAGGAAATAATTCTTAAATAAAGTTATATTTTTAAAAAAAAAATTTCTTACAAAAATTTAAATAATTTTAAAATATTTAAATTATATTAAAATCGTTTTCTGGAATGATTATCCGTGTTTTTTCATTTTTAAATGTAGGTATGTAAATAAATAAGATTCATAGTTTTCATAATGAATCTATACTCTAAGATAAAAAGTCATATAACTCTAAATGAAGGTCTATACTCAAAAAAGAAAAAGAATATAGTTATCATTAAGTACTATGAAATGGTTTGATATTTTTGATGAAATGTTTTGGTATTTTTGAATTGTAAAAAGTTACATTATTGCTTTAATTTCAGGGTCATTTATTTTTAAGGTTATTGTGAACCGAAGCTTCTTAAAAACTACAAGTTTAAATTAGATAATGAGTTTCAAAAACTGCTTAGCTTATATAAAATTGTTTGCTCGAAAACTAGTTCCTATAACTTGTCTTTATTATTTACCTTCATTATTTACTTTTACTGTTTATTAATTTTGGTTAATTACAAAATGGAGTTTTTAAAAATTTTTTTTCGAACTTAATTTTATTACGTTCATTACGTTATACATTTAATAAGTTACATTATGAAAACTATAAGTTTGTTTAATACTTTGAATAACTTAACACTTCATAGTTATAGCTCACGTTAAGCTTGTAAATTTATATCAAAAATCACAAGTTCGAAAAAATAAACACTGTTTTCTTAAAATTTAAAGGTAATTCTCGAGAAAATAATTTTTTTTCATTTTTTGTGTGAATTAAATTCAATAACAAAGCGAAAAAACGTGTTCTCTAAAATTTCAAATGAGGAAAGAAAGCAACTGCTAAATGTTGCTAAAACTAAATTTATGATTGTAAACAACAAAAAAAGATGTTTTTTATGAACACAAATTGTTTAACAGAAGTAAAGAGCTGAAAGTTGATTGGTTTATTTAAATTTCTTAGTTTTAAATTAAATATTCTAAATTTTAAAATGTTTTTATGCAGAATGACATTTTGAACTAAGTAGAAAAGAAACGTCATAACCATTTGTGAAAATTTTGACTATAACTTGTGAACTTGTGGTTGAATGGAGTGTTTGTTGGGGGATTTTTTAGCACAAGAAAACTTATTTTTGTTGCATTATAGTTATTTTTAAAAATTACCTACACTTTTATTTTAATCAATCGATTTTTATTTCAAATATCTTAATGATTGCCATCTTGGGTTACATCGAGATAAATGTCTTTAATTAAAAATAATCTCTAATCAAATTGGATTGTTTTTGTTTTAAAAAAATTCAATTACTGGTTTATTTTTTTATGCTTAATTTTTTGAAGTTTTACATATAATCATATAATTCCATGAGCAATGTTCAAAGTAATTTTAAATTATTTGCGATGACTACATTACTCCGTATATTGTATGAATTCAAAAAATATGATTTTAAAAAGCAGTATCTTGCTCCAGTCAAAAACTTTATTTCTAAGCTTAAATGAACAATGATTTGAATATAATTTAACTATCATACATAATTAAATATATATTTAATCATAACAAATTATTTCCAATTTTAAATGAAAATTACTATAAGATAAATATATTTAGATAATTTATATTTCATAAATACAAAAGTTCTATGAATGCTGAGTTTTGTTAAAATCAAACGTTAATCGCAGTTTAAATGGTTTATTACAGTTTATTACGGTTTAAACATTTTTGTTTACATAGATATATTACATAGATATATAAATTTTGATATTTTAAAATTTATTTAAATGTTTAGTATTGATTTTTAAATACTTTAAAATAAATTAAACTAATAAATATAAAAAAATAACAAAAGTACGTATACTTCAAAAATGAATTTTAAATAAGAAAAAACGATTTTCAAATGACAAATAAAATTGGTAAGCTTACGTATTGAAACATTGTTAGTTCTTGTTATGAGTTACTATGAGTATACACTAGCACAATACCTGAATATTAGAAACTAGCAACTGGTTATATACGTTCGTAAAGATGATTTTTTTTAATGATTTGTATGGAAATTATAAAAAAACAATGTATATTTGTGTTCGTTAAAAAATGCTTCTAGGGTAGTTAAAAATTACCTTAAATTGCAAATGCTGTTATTTCATTCATAAAAAATTTGCTGATCTCAAATGATCATTGGGATTTATGAAATTTTGACGAGGATTCATATTTCTAAACGACATTATTTGCCAATTGTGTCTGCCTATTATCCACATACCTTTAATAATTGTGAAGCTTACACGTGCATTCATTAAATACAAATACATAGCAGGAAGAAATAGCACTTTGTCATAAAATGTAGATATTCAAGATAAGACATTCTTGCAAAGGGTATGTTTTAATTAATTAATTTAATTCTTATTTGTTTAATTTATTTTTTAAATATTCAAATATTTTATTGCTTCATAGTAACTTTGCTTAGGGAAATAATGTAAACTGAGGTAACTTTTTTCGTTCATATAAAACTCTATTACTAGTTTTTCTATCATAAGGTTGGCTTTTTAAACTTTCCTCATTTAGTAACAACTGCCTTACGTACCCTGATATTACACCACATACAAGTAATCCTATTCTCTCTAGGAAATATAAAAATATTAAAAGGACTAAATTTTAAGTTTTAAAAAAAATTGTCAAGAATAAATTACCCTTTACTCTTTTTAGGAAAGTTTAGGAATAGTTATGATTATTTCATGTTTTATTCCCTGCCTCATTAATATTTTTTTGGCTCTATTATTAATGAATAACAAAAAATGCTTAAAAAAGTTTTTCTGATTAAAATTTCTTAAGATGAAAATTTATTTATGAGAATAGTCTATTCTTCAATATGATTCTGTTTTCTATTTTTTACTTCTTCAAAATTATGATGAACTATGTTTTATAATAGTTTAAAATAGAAAAAATTAAGTTACATATTATCGGAGTTGGAACAGATTCTCTTTAAATATTCATACAATACTCGGAAAAAAAATTTAGTCCTTGAACTGTTCTTTCTTAGATTCCATTCTGGTTTTTTCGTCCTTCGTGATTACGAGCACTTACTTAGTTAACATTTACTGTTTTTGTATAATATTGTATGAAAACTCTTTAAAAATCAAAACTCCTTGATAATTAATTGTATTTTAATTGGTTCAACAAATCTTTAAAGTGGACACGAAAAAAAGCTTAGTTCCTTAACATTTTTGCACATATAAATTCACGCTGTTGATAAGTTTAAAGGCTTGCTGTAAGCTAGGGTATTATTGTTATCATTTTATTTTATTTTATAACTTTATAACCGACCCAATTCTGAATTTACGACTATCAATGCTGAAATCCGTAGCCTTGTAATTTGGAATCCTATCCAGAAAACCAGGGAACTATTGAATTAAGCATTAAGACAAATTAGCCTTCGTAGAGGGCCTTTTAATGGATCGAATCAGCATTTGTGTTACCTGCAGAGGAAAACCACAAAAACTTCCTACAGTTAGCCCAAAAGAGAGGGAGTTTTAATCCATGATCCGTTTACCTTTGAGGATATTTTAAGTTAGCTTTGTGGTCAGTAAAACCCGAGAGCGAAATTTGTATCAACCAGCCACCGCTGGCATTCGATCCTGGGCTTACCTCATTGGGAGGCAAACGCTCTATCCCCTGAGCCACCGCGACTCTATTTTTATCATTTGAAACCTTTTACAATACGCTCTCAAAAATTATTTTGAATGTTGAACCTTAATATCATAACATTAAACCGTATACTAAGCAAATTAGTTAATTAATTGCAACCTTATAAGACGTTAAATGGAACCTTAATATATGCTATAGTATCATCAAATCAAGTTAAAGATGTATGATAATAGGGTTCAACGTCCATTGCTTCAACTTTAATCGATACTATGCATACTCCAAAATTTCTATTTGTCTAATTGGCAGGCAAAGATTTGAAAATATAGATAATAACAGAAAAATGAAACTCTTTTAAAAATTCACTCCTTCATAGTAAATCTTAGACTCACTAAAAATCAAACTATTTTGACTTACTAAAAATAATAATTTTGTTATCAATAATTTTGTTATATAATAATCTAGATGTAGAAGCGAAAGAAATCAAAACATGCTATTTTCCTGAAGTTTTCCTCGTCTACCTTTCTTTTTAATTTTGAAAAATTCTAGTCACCGAATATTCCGCTTAAATTGCTGACTTTCAATTTCAAGTTACTAACTGAATCACTGATTAGCATATACACGAATATACCAGTATATATATATATATAT